TGAATCCATGGTTGCTGTGCTTTGCTTTAATGGAAGCTCACTATTGTAAGAAGTAAATTATTTTTCTATATAAAAGTGTTTTTCGTTTTCGTTTTGCATCTCTGTAATGTATTCTTCAAAAATTATGTGTCCATCGTTCTTCTTTAATCTAGCTCCGTTTAATCTCTTCAATAGAATGCATGCAAATCATTTGAGTTGTTTGTTCTATAGTTGAGATTGCAGTCATGCACTATATGTTATTGATACATAACAGTCCTACATATTCGGTGTACTAGTTTTATTGTGGATCTCTATCAAATTATGTTATAGAGCTTATAGAAAACTGAGATTTGGTTTCAAAATACATATAAAACCAATTAATTATAATGAAATTAACTTAAAATTTGTACTATCCTGTATTGTCCATGTATTTCCATAAGTTCTTAATATACTATAGTATATACATGCATAAGTATATGTACTATAGCACATCTCCTCTCTGTTAATTATAAACGCCGCATTCTAATAAAAAACACGATTGCATGTGAATAACCCATTCGTTTGGACTTTGGTCTTTGGTAGCCATAAATTGAAATCGTGCTTGATGTATCTGAAGAGGTGTGCATTAATTTCCAGTGACCAATTTTTGTGCCCAACCGTCAATTATCACGTTGTGGCTTATGTATGAAGTAAAGCTGTTTGTGGGAATATAAGAAGAATCTTCTAGCCACAACTGCTCAATTGGTTACGATTCTTCGGCTGATTATGTGATAACAATAGTTTTACATATTTGTTATTATTTTATTTACATACTTTGAATGCACCGAATTGTGCTTTTGTTGTGAGGCAATCACATAAATAAATTTATGAATTTCTTGAAAATTCTTGGTTGAAACTAACAAAGGAAAGTGCAGTTCTTACAAAGCTTTTAATTGTACTCCGCACCTGATCGTTTTCAATTTAATGGTATAAAATTACCATCATTAATGAGTTCTTTAGCGCGAAGCCCCATTGTGATTTCCCTTGCATTAGCCGAAGCTATTATTATCTTCTAGAAGCATGTAGATACTTTTATAGCTGCAGTTAAGTATCTACGAGTAACTGCGAACGCTACATAATTGTTTGCTAAAATCGCATTATTTATTTATTGCTTATTTATTTGCCAACATAAAATTACACAAATTACAAATTACAAACTCACAAATCTTGTTGATAGTCGGTTGCGGTGTGCAGAGGTGACGGGGGCACTGTTGCAAGGTTTTGTACTGTTTTCAGATATTGTATCTAATGTTCGTTTGTGAGTTGTTGGTGTCAGCTTTTCATTTTATTGAAGTCGGTGCTTGAACCTAAGTGCTGCCAGAGTTTCATGTTGTGGTTTTGATATTGCGCTCAAGCGTACTTTCAGCAATTTTGCGTTTATGTATCTTGAGATGATTTCCATTTTAGCTTTTATTATAGTTTTAAGCTTAATACATTTACATTCAAGCAACACTGAAGTAACACTAAAGACATAAAAACTGAATGCACTTCAACAGCTTTTATGTGAATGTAATAAGACTGTGCAAAGGGTTAATGAGTTTGCCTTGTTAGATACTTTTTATTTGATGTATCTTCACAGCTGATTTTTTTTTGCATAATTGTATACAACTGAGTTTTTAAAATATATATATAGTTAGTAAGTTAGATTGTAGTAGAATTTCAAATAAAGTAGTATTTTCCAGAAAGCAAATGGCTATTTTAGGTCTTGAAAGTAAAGTCATTATCAAACGACAGTTTATAAGGGCCCGATAATTGCAATAAGGAATTTAGGTAAGGATACTTTTATATGGGGTTGGGAAATAATGACCCGTGATTGGGTATGCATCTTCTGACGAGATGCAGTAACAGAGGAAATAAATAATATTTCTTCTTATCTTGATCTTTTGTTTTTTCCGACGCATAACTACGATGTAGTCTTTGTTTGGTTGGTGTTTCTCACCGTGCTCCAAATGTGTGAGAAATTGAGTAGTGAGTAATCTAAAAGGATGCTTGTATCGGATGTGATTGATGATCACATAGTATATCATATGGCATCTGATATACATAGCCAATACATCAGCTCGATATGATCAAACCTTATCTGTTCTGGAAACAATAGCAAAGGTCATTATGACAGCTTAGATACTTTCAAAAATGTTAATATTCCTATCATCTCTTCATAGGGGCAAAGTTATTTAATTGCGATAATAGTGAAAGATGGTCTACCACAACTTCCGTTTGAAAAATAGTTTAATAAGTAAGCAATGACTTCAAGTTGATATCTTCAAAGGATACATCACCGCGTACCTTGCTTTTAGACGTCATTTTAAATCTTAATGTACAGTAGCCCTTGGTTGTTATCCCCTTCAATAAACCATTGAAGAAGTTATAATGAACTTCTTTATATAATCTACGATTAGGAGGTATTATGCCATAATCAATATCGAGTAGTATAATGGTATATAGTTTAATAAGGTAACATATAAGGTATTATACTATTATCAATGTGGAGAGGTATAGTGGTATATAATTTAATATTCGTATCGTATCGCATATCGTAGATGTATACAAGTATCGTATATGCATTTTGGACTGCTGTCGAAGAAACAATAGGTCTGTTGTTATCAATCTGATCTCGCTTATAGATGCGACATAGAATTTGGCTATTTTAGTTATATATGTAGATAATGTAATATCTTAATTGCTGCTTGGTTATTGATAAAGAGTCTTATAACAGTTTATCTTATGTTTTTTTCTAATAGCATGTCGAAGCGAATTTTGATTATATTACTTCCGCTTGAAATATATGATCTAAGATCCCGTAATAAGTTTATAATTTTTTTCCTTTTTTTTAATCTTTTCTTAATAAAAATAATAATATAATTTAACAATTTTTAAAATTTCCAATATCGTGATCTGTACATTCTGTCTTTATTGCTATAAACCGATTTGTTTGTATAATTACTTTAACTAATTATAGTATTATTGTAGTAAAAAAGGTGTTTTTTAAATAAATTAACAATTTTTGTATCTTAGTACTCTGCTACTCTGCTACTCTGCTACTTTGGTGCCGGTACAGTCTCATTGAATACATTATGATCGGCGATCGATCATCACGATTTGTTGAACTCGGTGCTCAGCTGTGTGTGAAGTTACTTTGATATT